CATAAGTGTTAGTTCTGCTATAGCAATACTTAGAATAGCTATAAAAATAAATACAGAAGACTCTAAGAGTTTATCTTAAGAATAAAATAGTCCTAAGGTTGAGATAATAATCTAGGCATCAGGTATAACTCAGTGAAATTAACAGATTTGCAGATTCAGAGAGTTTAAAGTAGAATACCCAAGCAGAGATGTTAGGTATGACAATTAGTGAGAAATCTTTAGGCAAACTCTTTAAATAAATAATGTAGAAAAGTTACATATGTAGCTAATTGTATGCTCTTTTTGTAGTGGTTTACTGAACCATATTTATTATTGTTAAATAAAGTCAAAAGACCCAAAAGGTCATCTTAATATCAAAAAAAAATAATAATATTTATTATATTTATCAAATAGTACTTGATAGCTAGTCAAGTCCAACTAATAATTTATTATACAATTTTATCATTTTATCTTGATAAAAGAGAATATTTGTATTTTATTTTAAATTTTTCTAATGCAGTGCAAATTGGTAAATTTCTTGCTTCAAAAATTTCTGATATTATTGATCAAATTGGCTCTAATAAATTTGTTGCTTGTGTAATTGACAATGGAAGTAATATTCATGTTGTTTATGAAATTACTATGCATAACTATTTTTATATATAAAATATAAGATGCATTGCTTATATATTAAATCTAATTGTAAGTGATATAGTTGAAGTTTAGTCTAATAATCAAGTTTTAAAAAAAGCAAATCAGATTATTCAATTTTTTACAAAGTTATACAGAGTATATAAACTTCTATACAATAATATAGAAAGTATGAAAATAAGTAGTAGTAGTTTGAAAACATATGTTAAGATGAAATAGGTGTCTGTTTTTGAAACTACATCTTCAATTATAAAATTGAAACCTGTTTTTAATAAGGTAATTAATATATTTTACTTTATATATTTTAGAAATAATTTATACTTTTTATTATTATGTTTTAATTTATTTTTTAGATTCTAGAAAATAATTAAGATGCAATTAGTAAATTAGTCTTTTCAATATTAAATAATAATGATAATACATTTTATACAAACTGTTATTAAATTGCATATATAATTCAACCAATTAAAGAAGCTATATATAATTTAGAAGCATGTATTGCAAATCTTGCTAACTGTTTTATTAGTATAATAAAAATCACTGCAGTTATTAATAGAATTTCTAAAAATAATACTTTTTACAAACTAGCTATTAGCATTTTTAATAAGTATTATACTGAATTTGATATTGAGTCATATCTTCTTGCTTATATTCTTCATTCAGAGTATAGAAGTATTACATTTAAGATTAAAACCTGTTTTGTTTTTTATAGTAAATTTAAAATATATACATTGCAGTATTTTTATTTTTGAATATATTTATATAGTTTTTTTCAGGTTTTCTATATGTATGCATATATAGTACAAAAAATCTAAAAATCTTAACTATCTTAACTTATTGAAAATATACTAAATTTATTAATAATTTATTTTAAGTTTCAACAATATGTATATGTAAAATAATTATGATTATATACATATATAGTTTTAATCAATTTTGCTAAAAATATATAGAAAACCTGTGTAAAATTAATTAATATTAATATATATATATATACTATATTTACACCTTTACAATAAAATATATTTAATTATATTTATTATCTTTTTAATATATAAGTTTTGGTTTACACAAAGAAATGTTCTAACAAGTCTGCAAAATAACAATTAAATTTTACAAAAGTACCTATAATGATGAAGCTGCATGCAGACTAATGATTATACAACTAATTGACTATAAAAATAATATCTATCTGTTTGACTTTGATTATAATTTTTTAAAATCATCTATTCAATAATAGGAAGTGATTAAAGATAATATTACTTATCTTCAAGATCTTGCTCAAATTATTTTTTTAATTGTACTTTCACAAACAAGTTGTAAATATAGTTTTTCTATTTTAAAGTAGTTATATAATATATACAGATTATGATTATTATTAGAACAACTTGAAAATATGACTAAAATTTATTTTTAATCTTAAAAATGAACTTTAGTTTTATGGAAAAGAATTATTAGAGAGTGAATTATGTAATAACATATTAAAACTAACAACCTATACTAATACAGAAAATAGTAATATAGCTTTAGAACAAAATAATGTTTTAGAATCTTTTTAATTCTCAAATAATGAAAAACTAGAAATTAGATCAATAATTGGTTTGTCAAATACAAAATTTAGTAGACAAGATGATATAAGTAAATTTCTTTCAATAATGCAAGAAAGCAGCAATATGGATTTTGATTCTATTAAAATAATAAAAAGTGAATTTTGGTTAGCTAATAAGTCATAAACAGCATTAAGTATTTTTAATGAATATATTTTTACCAAAGGTATATTATTTTTAATTACATATAGATGAAAATTTTTAATAAAATTTAGTAATTATTAAAATTGGTTTAATTTTGGTAATTACATAATATTATATAAATGATTAAATTAAAATTTTATAAAATATCATCATATAATTTTTAATAATTATCAAATCAAAAAAATTTACCCATATATGATTTTAATTCTTTGAGTTTGTTTATTCTTAAAAAGCTATCAACTAAATAATTATAGTAAATTTATTCTTAAAAAAATATTATAAATAACAAATATGTAAATTGCAACTAATATAATACAATACTTCATCAGCTTGACACTAAATATGTAATTTTCAGAAGAGTACAAGTACAGATGAATGGATATAAAGATATTGATAGTTGTATTAAAAAAACTTAAATCAAAAATCAGACTTATTCAATTTTTACAGATTTGCAACTTTTATTACTATATTATGTGTAGTTAGTAAACTGAATTGCAACTATATATATATTTTTTTTTGTTTGTTTTCTTAGTTTTTTTTTTTTTATCAATCTTACTTGAAGAAACACCAGCTGACATATATTTTGTCAAATTTTATGAATTATTTTATATTTTATTTATATAGTTTTATATAGATTTTCTCTAAATAAAATTTAAAGAATTAAAGTAGGTCACAATTTCTATTATACATTCTTTAAACAGATCGTTGATGATATTGTTTGTTTTGTATAAACTATAAATTCAAAATGATGAATTGATGCCAAAAATAATAAAAATCAAAGTGGTAATAAAAATTAAATAATATTTTGAAGCTAATAGCTTTTTTTCAAAGAAAAGAAAAGATCAACTATGCTAGCAAATTTATAATTCAAGATTAAGACACTTCAGTATTGTTGTAAACACTGTAAGCAATATTAAGTATTAGCATAATGTCATATTGCTATAATACCACATCGCCTACATACTGTCTCTCATGCCGATTTATTGAAAGAACTCAATAAAAAATTTGGAAAGGGCACAATAAAGATTAGGAAAGAATATAATAAAAGATTAGGAAGAACGCAATAAAAGGTTAGGAAAGAGCGCAATAAAAGGTTAGGAAAGAGCGTAATGAAACATTAGAAAAGAGCGAAATAAAACGATAGGAAAGGTGCAATGAAATATTAGGAGACGGAATGAAAATATTGTAAAGGCGCAATGAATATTGGAAACTGCGACATCATATGTAATTGACCAAAAATAATGTTTAATTTGGGACTTGGCCGAAAGTTTTGACTAGTCCCAAATATAGTTTAAGTTACAACGCAATTGTAGAATTCGGTAAAAACCTTTGGAAATCTACTAAATCCAAAACTACCGGGTTTGGTTTACATCGATAGTTCGCTTTGCCAAAAATCGCTTATAACTCAAAATTTCGCATATGCTACTATCTTTCGGGTTCTAACAAAAAAATTCTTTGCAAGATTTTACTATAGGTATACCTTTTGTTACTATTCTAACCTTACTTACCGCTAACTCTAATCACAAAATAATCGTTGCTTTGAATTTCACGTTACACCTGATCTTATGGGGTGCGTCACAACGCACCTGCGAAAAATGGTTTTAAAAAATTTTATTAACAACTTTTCTATATCTAAATTTACTGCGCAAATCCTATGACATGTACTCTACCCTTAGAACAATAAAATATGCAACAGTTTGCAGAATATTTATGCATATCTTACTGTTCTAAACGTTGTATTAGCCAATAATGAAGCCAATTTCTAAGTCGATTGAAATACTAAATTTTTAGCAAATTATAATAAAATTTCCAAAATTCTCTGTAATATTCTTTTAATTGCATGGTTTCAATTTGAGTTTTTTGATCACTGCATTAACAATTCGATTAGTATGTACGTGCGTTTTTTTAGTAACAACATTCGAGAAACTATTTATAACTAAAAAGAATGTCATAGTATTGTTGAATCTTTGATATACAGGGTATGAAATAACGACTTTTATGACAATTTTTTCATCATAATAATTTGGATCATTATTGTTTTTAGAACTATCGCAGTTATCACTTATGTGATAAATATGAAATAATACTATCTGTATTGTTATTCTCTAATGTCACATATTCAAATGATGTGTAACCTTATAATTATTTACTATTTATAATCTTAAATATTCTAAACTAGAACCAGTGATTGGTTCATCCCTTTTGGTTTAGTGTAAAACGCGAAATGTTAAAATTTATGGTTTAAAAGAACACGTTCTTTTGTAACAATCTAGTTCTTTTGTGCTTAAGACTATAATATTAAACAATTAACCCATAAAAATAACTTAAGAAATATATTTTTAAAGGTAAGTAATGTGTTAGTGGCTTATGATTATTTTTCTTGCGTTTGTTATTTTGATTTCGCGTCAAAATTGGCAGCGTTTACTGGGTTATTGTCTAATTTTACGTCAAAATGCCTTTTTAAAAAGCTTATATATGATATTTCTACTTTAAAATTTTGATACATACTTAAATAGACGCGTTATCTCATCGAAAGAGATTTAGAGCTTAGTATATTTAACTATCTTGTTTAATATTCCTTTTTCAAAATACCATAAAGGAGATAACATGAACTTCATCATGGAAGGTATATCGGTTGATATTGATGTAAATACTGTTCGAAACCATTATAACTCTTCGGGCCCTATGGACCTTAAACCTATGTAAGATTTATGCTTATTTTCGGTTGAACTAAATTTTTTAAATTTTCTAATCTTATAGTCAATTATTTAATAATTTTAGAGTCCACAACGCAAAGTTACAACTTAATGAGCTATCAGAAATTTACAAGAAGTATCTTCTTTATAAAAGTGATCCTGTTCGGAGTGCCATATATGAATTTAGCTGGGATAAATGTCTAGAGAAATTAAATGAATATGTGGTTCAGATAAAACGGCTAGGCTCCGATTTTGAGATTCCATCAGAATTAAGGAATTCAAAGCTTTCAACATTTGTCAAGAAATATAGTAATTTCATAAATATCAACAATTCAAACACAATTTCTCGGGATGCCTCACAACTTTCTATGCCCGGTCAACTTATGCAAGTGAAATATTTTGGTGACATTGGAATGGTTTTAGATCATAATGACGTTCCTTCCCGCGACAATATTATCTCTACCAATAGGGTAAATGATACGAGGGAGAACCATAACTCGTCATTACCAGACCTAATGATATTGGATGAAAATGGTAATTGAGTTACTAACTTTATTGTTGGTTTAATATTTAGTTGTAAAAAAGTTTACTAATGTTGTGATATATCAAATTATTTACGGTAAAAGATATGCCTTTTACAAAATATAGCGCTTCACAATCCTTCAAAAAAGCAAAAAAATCTTGTGCAAAACTTACCAACAATCAATGTTTAACTAATCAGTGCATTCAATCTCGAATTTATAGCGGGACGGTAAATAAAGCGTGTATTGTTCCAATGAAACGTCCTGCTGCTACTGTATTGAAACGCTATACCTTTGTACGTACGAAATCACCACTACGTGTGTTGGATAAGAAATCGCGGGGGGAAAAGTGTCAAAGTCAGTTTGAATTATTTGATGAGGACAAAAATATTCTACCTGAATGTTTTGCCAGTGGGAGTAAATCGAATCCAATTTCTCTCGTTTCGAGCGATGAGGAGGATGATATTACTTTGACAAACGGCCCTCCTGTTCACGCTGTGGTTACACAAGAATTAGTCCAGCCGCTTGTCGTTGAGAGTCATAAAAGAATCGATACTTTAAATTTAGAAGCACAAAAATTAGATATAGTGGTGAATCCTCATGAAGCCGTAAATCAGAACTTCTCAACACAAAATATAAAGAAATCAACTCGTAAATCAGAATTTGAGGTACAATCGATATCTCCTCAAGATATTGAAATCAAAGCGGTATGCTGTGCTTTAATTAATTGCTTTTAAAGGTATAAACGTTTCAATTGATATTGACTAGATAATATGCATAGCTTTATTTTAAACATGACAAAGAACAAGGTATTTTTACGCTTGTTCCTTGAATATCTTGCTTGTAATTATTGGTTAATGTTCTGTCGTATCTTAGACATCGCGAAGAAGTTACTCTTTGAAAAGCGTGACTACAAGATTAAAACAGCAATGAAACAAGAAGTTTATTTGGTAAGTTACTCTTATTTAGTATATGGTTTTACTGATCATTTCATAGATTACCGTGCTTCATTTTAAATAGGATGGTCCATCATATGATATCGACAACGTTTTGACGGTGATTTCATACATGGCTTTAAACGATATATTTGATAAGTCCCTGACTGTATGTTATGAATTTAATTTGTTTTTAATGAAATTTAATGTCGTACAAGACACTATTCATATATTACACATTTTAAAATATACATCATTTATGTTAGTTTTCTTCATCAGAGTCTCAGATTGTTCATAAATTAAATCAATTAAAATCTTACGATTTCAAATGTGGAAGCGGTGATGTGAATGAGATTGCTTTGAATTATAGTAACCCTTCAGAGTACGTTTAATTTTACAACTTTGTACATTATAATTGATATTTAGCTTTACTAATATGTTATAAAATAGACCAATTATAGCTATGGGATATATTGCGAATGCAGGTATGGATCACTTGTAAGTTTTTATTTTAGCTTGCACATTTTCACATTTTAATTTTGAATATTGTTTTTGATTTTTATCATTTATAGATCCAAATTATAACTTTCCTGGAAATTTGCAATTTCTTGACGTTAAGCAGGGTAATAATTTATTCATAGTACATTTGAAAGTTTCATCCATCATATTCAATTTTCCCAATTAATTTTTAGGGGCAGTTTATAATCTTTGGGGTCATATCGAGGAAGATTCGATTTCGAAACTAGGTAAGTCTCAAAGTTAAGAAAGTTAAGGATTGAGTTCGGCTTTATGATTATATATATTTTATTGTTAGATGTTTGGACTACAGTAACCGATGTCAAAATTTCACCGGACGGAAAATTTATTTTTTCAGCATCTACTGATGCATCTATTAAGGTAGTTGATCGATTCCAAGTATCAAAATTATTTATATTCTTAGCTTTACAAATCTTCTTTTGTTAACGATGATTTTGATAGGTTTGGCGAACTGGCGATGCTAAATCTTATCTAAAGCCTTTTAACACAAAAGGTACATAAATTAATACTTTCAAAATTTTGGGGTATCTATTTATATTTATATTTATGTAAAATTTCTATACAGTTTGCCAATCAAAAATACATCGATTGTCAGTATGTGAAAGGCCAACGTATGGAACAAAATATCAATTTGCATCGTGTGAGGACTCAGGGTATGTATGCTTGTCTGGATGTTTTTACTAGAATATTTTTTTATAACGTTTATTGCATGAATCTAGGTTAGTTCAAGTTCACTTTATAAGAAGTGACAAAAAGCAAGCATGTACCATGGTATCACAAGAATTTATTGAGGAAAAATGTAATAGAGTATCGAGCGATGTTAATTTTGTTTCAAGTTATCAGGTTATTGCAGGGTATAATGGCAATTCAAGTGATTCTACTGGAGTAGTTAAAGTTTGGGATATAAATAGTAGAAAGAAGACGTGTTATAATAAACAATTAATTTCTAGTAGTGTTAGTTGCTTAGATGTTTCACATGATGGTAGGTTTTAGTGATTTGAATATCTAATTTAGTATTTTATATCATGATTTCGAAATTTGAATTCTTTTAGAAAAATGGATTACATGTGGAACTACTGCTGGACTTGAAGACAGAGAAGGAGATGGTTCTATGCATATATGGGATATGCTGTCTCAAACCACATTATGTGCATTTACTGGTGAAAAGGATATTAATATTATATCAATTTCGCCTAATGATCAGTATATTGCACTTGGTGGAATGATGAACACTGTATACGTATATGATAAACGATATTTAAATCAAAGCTTACATGAATTAAAACATGAGAGTGAGTTAGAATTTAAATATATAGTGTTTTTTTATTTGCAATTTTGATTTTTATTACTTATTAAATTTTTTAAAAGATCCAAATGATGGTCTTTTGCATGATGGAATTATGTCATTGCAGTGGATTCCTGATAGTAACATACTTGTTAGTGGAGGAAATGATAATTGTATAAGGATATGGAATGTTACATTAGCATCAAGTAACAATATGATTTACCAGTTTTCACATCATGATAGTCCTGTTACATCAATTAAGATAACATCGGGTAATTATTGCTTATTTGTTAATTATTTTTTTTGTAGATTAATAATAGAATATTTGTTTTGTTTATTTTGTCTATACCAAATTGCATGAACAAAAATACGCAAATTTGATTGGTTAGCAATTTTACTGCGCCAATTACATTTGCGTATTTGGGTGCTGCACAATTAAAACGGAAATTTTACTTTACAGAAACGGCAGATTAGACCTTTGATAAATGATGTATAAATTCTAAGTCATATAATATTGAGTCATGTATTTGATAAGCCCGTTTTTATAAATTGAGATTTCAGAAAAACAAAATTTGCATGTTTTAATTGTGTTGCACTCATTTGTTATGTAATTTTCATATTCGCGAATATTATACTTTTAATTGGTTAATTTTTTTATTAATAATTATTTTTTTTAGATTTAAATCTGATGACTGTTGGTGTATCTTCGGGAAAAATGTATGTTTATTCATCAAATGAAGCATTTATTCAAGCAGGTAATAAATTGAAGTATTTGTAAAAAGCCAGATATGTTTAAGATTATATAATATTTATATAATATTAAGCATTGCTTATATATATTAGATATTTATAATCTTAATGTTATATTAGAAATAGAATTATAATTAATAGAATGTTTTAGATTTTTATTATATGCTTGTGAATTTATTCTATTTTAGTTTAGAGATTACTATCTGTATTCTGCTATTACATTATTCGTATATACATGGGTGTTTATATCCCAACGTTTTTTCAACAAAAATTCTTTTGTGATAACGTTTTTCTAACTTTAAAATTAATCTTGCCTTAATATTAAACAATATTGAGTTATATGTAGGTATTTGAGTACATAATATTGTAACTAAAACATTGGGTGTTGTAAAATTTATAATTAATGGCCTACTTTTTTATAAAGATATATAATAAATATTTTAATTTATTATAAAAATTTGTAGTTTCTAATTACATAATATTGTGGCAATTAAATTATTAATTTACAATATATGGATGTAATAATTTATTTGCTGATTTTAGCCAACTATCAAGTACATTACATTAAGCTATTATATATTAGCTTTAGTTAATATGGAATTCAGAATGATATTGAAAATTTTTGCCTTTAGAATGAAAAGTTATATTCTAATTTGTAAAATGAGCACTGTAAAAGAGTCAAGGTTCGGAATCACTGGAATAATTACGCTATACCACTAGGATCGCCGAATTTAATTATTATTTATTAAACAATTTAAACAATCCTTTTCAGTTAAAGATGACGTGAATTTCGTGCATGAACCTTAAGTTTTTCTACAACTAGTTAATCTATTGCTATTAACACGATCTTATAACATCATTTGGAAAAAAGATTCTATGCCTAACAGAAATTTATAGTTAATATTGCGTAATTATCGAAGGCAATTACAGTCAGTGTTGGGTATTGAATTAAAGTCCAGTTTTAAAAACTGGACTATATTGGACGATTTCACCTAACTAAGTCCTTAATCTACTATGTTTCAGTTTTATATGATCGAAAGAACAAAATTTTATTGGTTAATAATCACGTAAATAGAGTTTCAAATTTAAAATCAGAGAACCTTCCAATTTATAATTCAGCATAGTAAAACACTATTAAAAAATCCTACTTTATGTGCCCAAACCGGTTTAAGACTTGATTTATCCCAGCCAATAAGATTCACTGATCAAAAAATTAGAAAATGCAATGATGAAAATAAATGCAAGTTAAATAATTTTTTGCTATCTTTATAATCATTAACCAGTACAGAAAAAACGATGGATCATGTTAATATCTCTTAAATATTTTGGCATTAAATATTTAACCGCAAATGCTTTTTTTATACTGTAGATTCGTAGCCTTATAGATAAGCTGTATTATACATTTTAATTTATAGTTACTATACTGATTTTACGTTATTTATCTTTCGAAATTTATTCAATGCATACGGTAATAAATAATCCGGTTAATATTTAAAGTTAATTATTTTAAACTTTGAATAAAAATTTTTATTGCTATTTTATACTAATAATTTTAGCATTTCTGGTTTGTAATATAGCTGTAGGTTCTATCTTCACCAGAATTTGGGATAGCGCATTCATTATATTAGATCTTTTCTTCATTTCAGTATCTATAATTGATTCCAAGTCATAGCTAGTTATTCAATTTTTATCTATTTGGTTATATTGATTTCAGATTTTTTGAATTGTATCAATCTAATTTTTCAAAGTAGTATTTAGAATTTCTTTAGATTTTTTTCATTTTGGTGAACAAAATCATATGTGAAATTGATATTGTATAGAATTTTTGACACATGAAAAAATATATTTGCATGTCATTCTTCAAAATTTAATTTTTATATATAAATTTTTATATAAACTTTAGAGTTACTTTTTTTAATAATTTTATTTAATAATATTAATTATTTAAACAAACAAAACATCTAAATCTGTATTAGTAAGTTTATAGCATTTTTGTTTTTTTTGCTTAGGTTTTAGAGTAAGAGGTAATGTAAATTATTTTTATATAGAAATGTATAATATTTTAACATTTTCATCTAAAATTGATATATGCTACTAATAAATTTTTTTTATTTTTTAATTAATCAATAAAAAAATTTTATAATATTATAAATAAAATTATTTATCTATTATAGTAAAATTTTGAAGTATTGTATTATTTTAAAAAAATATACTTGTATATATTACAAAGTTTTCCAAAATATTTCAAAATTTGCCAGGGTTATACAAGATTATTAGATTTGATTAGTTAATTTACATAACCTTATAAGTTAACTTAATTAATAATTTTTATATCTAATCTTTAAAAAGTTATATCTTACTAAGTTTTTACTCAATATTAATGATTTTACTATCATTAGAATCAACAAAACCTTCTCTACAAACTTATAAATTAAAATTAGGTTTACTTAATATAATTTTTTATAAAATTAAATATAAAAAATATTTACCATTAGGTTTATATATAATTTTAAAATACTACCTCCTACTTTTTATTTTTTTAATTATTAAGTAGATAGTTTTATAATTCTACATTTATTAGTTTTGTTTAATTGCTAAATAGGTATATTTTTTAATTTCTTATATTATAATTCAATAAAATTTATAATATTTATTTTTGATGTGTGTATTAATAATACACATCAATTTATTTTTTACAATTGTTTATATACTTTCTGCTTTATATATTTTATCTATTATATTATATATAAGGTTGTTTATTTAATAAGTATTTATTTAATTTGTTGCATATCTGAAAGACATTCTAAATTTTTATTATGACATCAAGTTTATCTAATACAAAATTTTATATATTTTATTTTTTTTTGTTTATTTAATATTAATATTATATTTGTTTTTTTTTAAGTTTTTAAATAATTTAAATATGCTTTAATTTTATATTTATATATTATTAACAGAGCAAAATTCTAATATTAAAATATTTTTTTTAAACTATTTTTTAGACAAATTTGTTTGAAAATTTTATAATTAATATGTAATTAAGCTATCAAATTACATATATATATATTTTTTAGAGTTAAGATAAGATTTGCTTATATCTTTATTAATTTGTTAAAAATACTTTTAAGGGCTTCTTTGAATATAAATTACAAAATTTATTTTAATTACAAATTTATTACAAAAGTAAAGTCCAGATTATAGAAAGAAACTAACTGTTATTTATTTAATTTATCTGCAACCTAAACCTACTAGAATAGTTAAAACTTATTTAGATTTGATAATATAAAATGTTATTTATATAGTAACTATAAAGTATTTAATAGTCAAGTTATATATTAATTTTATATAAAGCACAACAAAGTGGTAGGCAAATATTTGGATTAGTATATTTTAAGCTTAATAGTTTACATAAATTGCAAGTTGTACTATATAATTAATATTTATTATATAGTATATATTATTATAATTAGTTTATATAGGTTTTTATTATTTATTTTTAATATATTGTAGAGCTATCAAATTATATTGAATTATAATTTAAATTATAATAAATATACAATTAAATTGATAGTTTAAAAATAATATAAATTATAATTTATTACATATTATTACAGTTAGTTATAAAAGTATAAAGTTTTATTTTTAAATTTTTTTTTTTAAATTTGGTGACAATGCCAATTGGTTTATTAGCTTTAATTTAATATAATACAGATTTATGGTTACATTTTAGGATTAATTACTAATACTATATATTATCTAATTTTACATCACTAACTTCACCCAGTTACTCTTATAGCACCTAAATGCATGTCTGCTACATGCCTGCATGCAGTTATCTTGACAACTACTTGCAGTCATGACATACATTAAACTATTACATAGACAAGAATACCTACCAAACTTAATATGGCATCCCAAATGCCAGGAATACTGTCTTCTATAAATCATACTTATATGTTCCACTTACATGTTTTACCTGGTTTTGTTTCTTTTGTCTCCTAATCTAACTATATTTAATATTATCTTGTTCTCTATATTTTTTACCTTTTTATTATTGTACCACTCCCAAATTGGTCCTATTCGGGTATGTCTGATTTTTATAATCTTTCCATCTTTGTTATGCCTGTTATTATTTTCCCTAAGATGTTCCAATAATAGTCCAAAATCTGCAATAAACCTATATTTCAAGCCAGATCTGCTGTTATCATTAATCTTTTGATCAATCTGTATCTCAAGCCAAATCTGCTGCCACTGTTCTTGCAGATGCCCTAGGTCTTGGCATCATACATTAACTCAATGCTGCATTTAATCCCCAACATAATGTTTCTTTTTATGATAAAGACTAAAACTTGTTATAAACAGAACAATTCTGGTTATATTTAGGAAGTTTCTTTGACTCTAGTGATACCATATTACTATATATTGCAAGTTTTCAGCTTATTCAACAATATTTGCAGGACAATTCTGGTTATGTCCAGGAAGTTACACTGACCCCAGTGATACTATACTACTTTGCAGATCTTATCTCATATTGGTTGGTTGATTTCTAGTCTTGTTCATTATAGACTTTCATATAGGTATGACCAAAATCTGATCTGGTACTTTTACATTGTATAAGAAAGTTATACATCTACTTCCAAAATCTTTCTTTCTATAATTAGATTATTCAGCTGTGCCAGAGGTGCTTCCAATTTTTTGATTAGACTAATTCTTTATTACAGTCTGTTCTCATATTCACTGCTTCTCTTACTATTTTAGTCTTGATTATTTTTAGACTACTCTCCCAATCAAATCCTCTCTTTAGATCCCAATTAAGACTTATTTGCACAATTTGTTAATTATTCTTCCAAGCAAGTACCCTACAAGTTAAATGCAGAGATGTTGGTACTGCTTATATTAGAAGGTATAAGGATGTTAGTACTACTCTAGCCTAAAAGACTTATATGTGCAATCTTTCCATAATCATAATCTTCTGTAACAACCACTTGTTACACATAGTGCCTTTATTTTATAATTGGGTCTCCTTCTGAGAATTTCTATTTTCATCATTGTACTGCACTTGGACTTTAACCACAGGGCTTTACATTTAATTACAGACTTCTTATTAGATTACAGAAGCTAAAATCTTTCA